CGCTTGCCCCGGGCCATCCTGAGCATTCAAGAGCAAAACTGCACTGGAGATGAGGCTCCCCAGGGATGCTGCAACACTCGGGAGCTTTCATTACCATTAAGCTAAACTGCTGGTGACAACAATCAACTCTTCATTAAATGCTGCTTCCTTAACACACTCTGCCTCCTAATGCTTTAGTCTTAACAATTAATGGGGGACACTAAATAACTGGGGGCCATAATCTAACTCTACCAAACCAGACCTGCAAGGAGAAGGTGTTGGGCCAAGTTTGGGGCATGCCTTTTGGCCGGCCTCTCCCAGCCCTGCAACACCCCGGCGCAAAAACACGCGGAGTTGAGTGTGGAGAAGCTCTAACTCAACGGGTCACGTCTCACACGCGGACCAAGGGAGGCAGGGCACAGCCAACAGGAGAAAATACCCCACTGCACACCAAACTGACCTGTTTTTTTTCTTACTAAATGAGATTCCACTAAACCTTAAATATTTTAAATGTGATAAAATAATCACACAAATAATCATACAGCTTCTTGTAAAATTCTGGTCACCTATCATTACAGAAATAGCCAAAAAGAAGAGTAAAACTTGTAAAAAGCAAGTAAAACAAGTCCTGCCACATCCCCAATCAGTAATACACATCTGCTGGTACATACATATATATGTATATATGTATGTATATGTGGATATACATATACACATGTATGTAGATATACATGTGTGCATGTTTATATATTTTCTATGTTATTTATTTTTATATATTGCTATATGTATAATACATGCTTATATATTTACCATTAAAATATTTTTATATTTATGTGTGTGCATGTATTTATATTTGTAAGTACACACACATACACACACATATACATAGATATATACTGACGGCTCTTACAAGCAACACTTGGTAGTTTCTGGTTCTTCTCATTTCCTACCCAAGACGTGTATTAGTGTGTATTTGCCAGGCAAAGTATACCTGGAAAGGGCAAACTGCCTTCCCTGAAACTTTTACAGCAAAGGGCAGATTTCCAAGTTGTTTTTCTTCCCCAAAGTAAAATTATTTCTTCCTCATCTCCCAGAGGAAGGTCAGGTTCATAAAGGCAAAGCCTCACCAAGGCACCTGACTGAGGAGTGCGAAGAGCACATAAAACTGTCTTTACTTACACTCTGAATAATTTCAGTTCAAGATCCTGCACAGACCATTTTTTCCCTATACTTTAGGGAACCCATGTTTTCAAAGCTGACCTCTGAGACCAAAACCTTCACTTTATGTCCATGTTTCTGAACTCAGAAATATCACAGGATTTTGAACATACACCTCCAGCAGGAACAGGCCTGGGAACTCAAGCTCGTTTCAAAGAGAGCAAACAGCTGCCAGACAGCAATGACTTCTTTATGAACCCCAGGAGCGAGCAAGTTCTACTTCTCTGGTCCTTCTAAGTTGTTTAAACACACAACCATTTTTTAAAATCAAATTTAAAAGCCATTTCAAAAATCAAATCTGTACCTCAGCAATTTGATTTGTAGGAAATGAAACAAAACACAGCACAAGTGGGGTGCTTTTCAATAAATCCCGGTCTGCGGCATGTGCCAGTGATTAATACTATTCCGTATAACCTGTGAGTGAATTATGGAGAGATGAGACAGGCTTCACGGGCAGGCTTGGTGAGATGCTTCCCCCCTGCCAGCACTACGGCCCTTTGGCATGTAGCAATAGCACCCGGCCGGTACAGAGGCGGCTGATGGAAACCAAAGTGGTTATGGCAAATGCAACTAATGCTGTCAGCTACTGCAGACCTATTGCTTATACATACATGTGTTTGTATGTGTATATATGCATGTAGGTATACACACATACACATGCACTCAGAAAGCGACCAGTCTGCTTCCCTCGGGCCTGCTTGGCTACTCACCTAATGAATTTAACCGCCAAGCCCAGGTCTGCTATGCAGCAGGTCCCGTTCTTCTTGACCAGGATGTTCTTGCTCTTGAGGTCCCGGTGGGCGATGGCCGGCTTGCCCTGGGTGCTGAAGATCTCCGTGTGCAGGTGGCACAGGCCGCTCACCGAGGAGTAGGCCAGCTTCAGCATGGCCTTGGTGTCCAGCGTGGTGGACTTCAGGTAGTCGTAGAGCGAGCCGTTCTCGTGGTAGTCCGTGATGAGATACAGCTGGGTCCAAGAGCCCGTGCCTTTAATGTCCGCAGCAATGAAGCCTGCCCAAAGGAAACATCTTCCCATTAGTGCTTCTCCTGACTCTCCAACGGACCGCCCGCCGCGGCGGTGGTTTTATTTTAGCCCTATATCCACTTGCTTTTATCTGCCCTCCATGCAGCCACGCCAGTGTTGCTGCATGAAACGTGCCCTTCTGCAAGCAGAATTGGGAAAAGAAACCTCCAAAGCCAGGGGTCTTCAACTGCACAGGAATCCTTAAAACATCTTTCCTTTGAAAGGTGCTGTATGGGCTAATTCGGGCAGCAGAGTACACAGGAGAGGACATCGGAGCACAACAAATACCAAAAGAAGCTTAGGGAACCTGCAGCTATCTGGTAATTATCTTGAATTTCACTCACCGAGAATATTTTCATGCCTCATGAGGACGGTTTGGTAGATCTCTGTTTCTCTGAACCAGCTGGCCTCCTCAGTGGTAAAAAACACTTTCACAGCTACTTTTTCTCCGCGCCACTTTCCCATCCAGACTTCTCCATAGCGGCCTTTTCCAATCTGCTTCACCATCTGAATCTGCTTGGCTATGGTCCTCTGCACCTGCAAAACCCCAGGGCGTGCGGTGAGGCTCTGCCCGCAGACACCGTCCGCGCTCCCCTTGGCGCATCCTGCTCCCCTTTCAGCGCGAGGCCCCTGCTGAGCACGGATCTGTGCGACACGGCGGCTCCCCTTTCCCACAGCAAAGGGTTTTAATCAAAAACCTTGTTTTTCTCTAAGATACGGAAAAGCAGCTTCAAACTGGAGCTTTCCAGTGACTTTATCAAAGTATTTGGGCAGCTGTGTCAGAAGCTCAACGTAATCTGCAGCGCTGTGGAGACACCCATCCCGCATCAGGATGGGGGCCACGCGGAGAAGGCTGCATGAGCCGATGGGGATAAACTTGTGACCACAAAAGGCTTGGGCAAGCGCAGCCGAAGCTGCCCGGGCACGCGGCGGGACACGCGCTTCCAGAGGCGGTCGGAGGGGAAAATCCCCACGGGAGCTGCTACACAACCCCCCAGGGATCCCGGCTCAACAGCACGCTCAGATGTCACCTCCTTCTGCTTCGGCCTTGCCAGTTCAACCCACAGGATTTTACAGGGTTTTCCAAGGGCTGACTGGACAGACTCTAATACAGTTCCTTCTTTCTCTAGGAACTCCTAGGCTGGCCCAGGCTATGGGCAGAACCAGGATGAGTGCGAATTGGGGGTTTTGCCACCACGTGTGCACGACCCTCATGAACTTTCTTGCAGCGTGTTTGCGCTGCATCCCCGTGAAACTGTATTTGTTCCTTGTAATCACAAGTATTTTTGCAATTGTGGCTGACAAAAAGAGGTAACGAAAATCGGATGTTAAAAGCTCTGGCTTCCCTCGCTGTCTCACGGAGGTGCAGTGGAAACTCCCCATTTTCCCTGCCATCCCTAGCACGGGAAGCAGAGGCCAGCGACGCAGAGCAGGAGCGCCACAGCCCCACGGATGCATCAAGACATATTCAGATGAGATCCCTTATCATTTAGTTTGTAAATAAATTACTGGGTTTCATATCTAGAGGAGAATAACATTCAGTGACGTTTATGTAAAACTATTTCAAAAGTCCAGCTTCTTTTTTGTTTGCTTCCATTTAAACAGGATCCCATTTTTTCAGCAATGTATTATGAGGCTTCCAAGATGGTGGCTTCAGTGCCATTATTTTTGATTAACATCAGTGAAAGCCAAGAGCAGAGATTAGCCTTAATTTCTAAAACTGATTTATTCTCCTTTATACTCTCATATAGTGATTGAACAATTGTTGTATTACATTGGAATTTTGCTTTAACATTTGCTAATGCAATTTTAGCATTGTTGCTTTCTATTTTGCCCATTTTAAAAATGCATCCTGAACAATAACGCGGTTATATCAAATAACTTAATTTGTGCAAATATATGTAATGGCATCATAAAGTACATGAAATTACAATACTTAATGATGAAAAGTTCCTTATTAAATTACATTAAGAAAATGAAAAACACATTTCTGTTATAGGTTTTCAGGCAGCAGAATACTATGTGAAGGGCCTTAACCTGGTTTCCTCTTGCCAGAATGGGTCAACCAATTTACTAAGAATATATATATATATTTATATATAT